GCTGAATAATACTGAATAGAGCTTATATAGGAATGCCGCGATAGGTGTCGTATTCCTATAGGTAGATGTGATCAGCTGAGAATCAGCTGATGCAGGCTTGACTCACATGACCCGCCAGAACTAACGCTAACGCTTAATTTATGGGTTTTGGCATATTTTCTCTTTCTGCTGCAAACTGAAAAAAGAGGTATTTTATAGCGTCTATGGCTGAAAGTTGTCAGTGACTGAATCTCTGGCTGTTTCAAATGTGGGTTTTTTCGCTGGTTTCATGTATTTTGATATGTCTTTTGTTTCGAAAGTTCATGTTCTTAAGTCTTGTGTCACATGTTTTGTCTCACTGTTCTGGCATTGATTTAGTGATGGGGGAAACAAAGCTTTCTAAACAATTTGTTTCAACCGTTTATGTTGGCATGCAAAATCTCATTCATTCAGTTAAACATCACAGTGATTGGACAAAGTGAGCTTTTCAAAACTTTGAATCAATTGATCCGATTGCAAAACGATCCTGTACAAAACAATTTACAAACCAACTGCAAGAAGTCAATTAAATCTATTAAATGCAATGTACAAATCATGTTAAAAAAAAATGAAACTGACATGTTAAAATGTGAATAGAATACATTAAATATACATCAGGCTTTTGAGGAACGCTTATTTGTTCATCTCTCAATCATCATTGTATCGCATTGCATTATATGTTTTGTCCTCCACTAAGATATTTTATCATAAAACGTTCTCTTTTTTTAAAGGTTCAATAAATAAATAAGATTTTTTTCTGACTATTATTTCATGTCAGGCTTTATGGGGTTAAATATGAAGTGTCCGTATAATTCATGTTTAATATAATATAAATTGTGTTTTATTGATTTGTAGTGCTTATTTTATGTTTTTAGGTAGAATTTGGCTAACTATGCCAGTTGGAATCAATGCACTATATTACTTTCTGTTTTTCATAATACACGTCTGTTATTAAAACTGAACCTACATTACAAAATTGATATGCTGGTTTAGAAATGAAACACTTTGTGAAGCACCACGTGCTTTGTGTTCTCTCATGACATTTGTTTCTGTTGTCTTGTGTTTGCCTTTTCATGCTTTGAGATTTGAAAGCTACGGGGGAGGGCGGGATTAAATGTTGTCTTGTTCTTCACACAAAGCTATTGTATTGATTCGTTTTATAGTACATGAGTCATTTTATAGTGCATTTTGTCCTTAGCAGAGTTCAACAGTACCAGGCTCAATTCTCTTTCATTTTACGTGAAAGAGAGCAGCCAGGACATTTTACAAAACGTCTTCTTTTGTGTTCCACAGAAGAAGAAAATTATATGGGTTAAGAACAACATGAGGGTTAGGGTACATGTGAATTGTTTAATACAACATCAATACTGTGTTTACGGCGGTACAGTAAACTACAACATGTTCTCTTTTTACCTGCTCTTTTCTCAAGCAGAGCGTTTTCACACAGAGCTCAACACCATCTGACAACTCGACAGAACGTCACAAATATTGCTTAGCTTTCAGAAGTGCCAATGCAGCGCTAGCTGTGCTGTCATGCAGAAACATAAAGCAGAGATTTCAGAGAGTGGGAGTATAAGAGCCATTGTAGAGCTTTCTGGAAATAACTGCTCATAAATATTCATCACAAAGCCCTCTAATTACTACTGACCACCAAGAAAGCAGAAAAGCAGAATTAAGGTATTGTAGAAGCTTTATTTCTGTCAGTATTGTCAGCTCTAGCCTTTTCCTAAGTCTGCATGGACTACTACAACAACTTCTCCACATACTTTGAAAAACTTCACCCAGAACTGAGCTGGAAAACAGGTGAAGGCCTTTTAGCTCCCTCTTCAGATCATTCATGTGTCTTTTTGCTGTGAAATCTTTAATGCACTTTATAAAGTTAACGTAAGAATAACTTTTATATTAATATTTCAAGAAGAGCACTCCCTTAGATTAACTTCCACACACATTTTTAGTAAAATCATGTTAAAATGTGAGCATCAAATATCTATCAGGACTGTTTATTTGTTCATCTCTCAATCATCATTGTATTGCATTGCATTATATGTTTCGAAAAGCGCTTTGCTCATAAATCTAAAGATTTAAATATCATATTATTGAAAGATATAGCCAAAAATGGGCCGCAGGTTTGCTCTGATAAGGTCAGGGCAGATGGGAATGTAAATGCAACTCTACAATTCAGCCATACATAGCTTATGCATGAAAATACACTTTTAAAAAGGAGAAGAAAATGTTTTTGTTCTGTCACTTGGTAGAATCTAGTCCAATTAAACAAATGCCAACATATACAGGTTGCATGTCATGCCTCCACATATTATAAATATGGCTGTTATTCAATTCAAATTGTAAATCAAATTAATTACATGATGCAGCGATTAATCAATCTAATTAATCGCAAATTAAATTTGGCTGTAAAATTACCCCCAAAAGATCATTTAAAGCCATTGTTGTGCTAAATGAGAAAAATATCAAGTAGATATTACAAAAAGTAGCTTTAGGAAGAAATATTTTATTTGATTCAACGTAATATTTATTACACATAATCATTTAGGCTAAATATATATATATGTTCTTGCATTATTTGCATATATTTAAAATTAACTTATTTACTGAACTGTTGTTTAAAATCACATTTGCACTCATGCTGTTCAGGAAAAAATTCATATAAATATGAGAAAAAGTTTTTTCATTTTTTTGCCCCAATATCTTGAATTTTAGGGGCACATAACTGCGTTTTATAGGCTACATCACGCAACTGTATGAAACACAAGATGACGTACAGGTCTGGGGCGTGGAGATAAAAAGGGGAGTTTAGAAATAGGTCTGAAATTAGACAGAATTGAAGGATCCAGATTATTCTTTTTACAAAAGCTGCAATTAAGATACACAAAGTATCTTTTCAAAGTATCAGATTAACTCTGAAACAGCGAGTATTCTCATTCTCCAGTGAAATCACACTGTGGGGGGAAAAGACGAACTGTTTCTGTCTTTCTAAACTACAGTGCATTTGCTCCCAGCACTACCATAAGTAATGAAGCACGACTGTCTGCAGAGAAGAGAAGAGCAGAGGACAGCATAAAACAGCAGACAGTCCATCAGCTTTGACAGTTTGACTCTGTCTGAGTGGTTAAAGCCAATAGTTCTCTCATCATTAACTAACCAACATGTCACTACAAACCTGTATGACTTTGATGAACAGATCGAAACAAGTCATTATTCATTGACAGTCTTCTCCTCCGGTGAGCTGTTTTTTCACTCGAGCACCGATCACTCGGACTGCGCTGTTAATTGTATCACTGAAAAGATCCGACTCGTACGGATTTGGAACAACATGACGGTGAGGAAATAATGACAGAATTTTCATTTTTGGGTGAACGTACCGTTCTGCTATTTCTGTCTTTCTCTTCTCCTTCTGTCTCTCTCTTTCTTTCTTTCGGTGCTATTTCTGTCTGTTTAATTTCTCCTGCAGTGTGAGTGAATGTGTGTGCAAACGCGCGCGCGTGTGTGTGAATGTGCTAGAAAGCTCTGGGTAAAACTGCATTTGTTAGCAGGAACCCCAGCTGGTCCCATTATAAATGCATCACTAGTACATCCACTGAGACATTTAACTGTGAGTATGTGATTATAAATGTGAGCATATACAGTATGCATACAGTGACCACGAAATTAAGTCTATAAATGGTTAATCACGATTATTTTGCTGAAAAATATCATCACAATTACTGTTATTTTTATTTATTTTTTCTACATTTCATCAGAATTATTGCACTTTCACATAAGATTGCACAGATTTAGTTGCGGCAAACAGCACAAATGGCTGTGAAAGAAACAGAGTGGCTGTACTACACTTTTATTTGAGCATTTTACATTTTATTACGCTTTTTCCCTAATGTGGAGAGAGCATGTGCGGTTAAGTAAACCGCTAGGCAGAAAATGTGTCCATTTAAGCAAAAACAGCTCTGATTGGGGGATTTAAACTCTTGACATCTGGCAACCACAACCATGAAAGCTTGTGGAGGTTTGTTACCATTGCAAGATAATGCAAATGCCAAATTAAAAAAGCGCATTTTTAGTATACATAACCAGTCAGCAAATATCACAGACGATCATACTTAATAAATCAAGAGAATCATAATAAAATATGATTCATTGTGCAGCCCTACTTAAGTCACAATTATAATATATGTGACCCTGGAGCACAAAAGCAAGTCTTAAGTCGCTGGGGTATATTTGTAGCAATAGCCAACAATATATTGTATGGGTCAAAATTATTGATTTTTTTAATGTCAAAAATCATTAGGATATTAAGTAAAGATCATATTTCTTGAAGATATTTTGTAAATTTCCTACTGTAAATATTTTAAAACTTAATTTTTGAGTAGTAATATGCATTGCTAAGAACTTCATTTGAACAACTTTAAAGATGATTTTCTCAATATTTTGATTTTTTTGCACCCTCAGATTCCAGATTTTCAAATAGCTGTATCTCGACCAAATATTGTACTATCCTAACAAACCATACATCAATGGAAAGCTTATTTATTCAGCTTTCAGATTATATATAAATCTCAATTTCGAGAAATTGACCCTTATGACTGGTTTTGTGGTCCAGGGTCACATATGAATGTCATTGTGTTAGATAAGTGGCATTAATTTCAAAGAAAGGTATATTTCACAAAAAGGTTTTCTAATATGATAAATCAATGTTACCCTAATGCAATGACATTCATACATTTGTAAACATCACTTAAGCTCCTAAATATTTTTTGGGGTCACTGTATATTCAATCCACATGCAGACTGTGTGTTACCTGAGTCTCCCGTCTTGTGCGGCGGCTCCTCCTGGAATGATCTTGGTGATGAAGATGCTGGGGTCGTCTCCTACATGAGGGTTATCAGTCCCTCCGGCGATACTGAAGCCTAGCCCAGAGTTCCCCTAGACACACACACACACACACACACACACACACACACACACACACACACACACACAGAGACACACAGACACACATACACAGACACACAAACACACAAACACACACAAACACACCACACACCACACACACACACACACACACACACACACACACATTCACATAAACCGAAGCTCTGCTATGGGTGCCAACATATATTCACATGCATTCATTTCGCTTTAGATGTCAAATGCAATTTATTAACACTGAAACATGTCATTTATTGATAGAATCCATTGTGAAAAAGAATAGTACGGAAATAATATGCTTAATATACTTAATAATTATATACAGAAATATATAGTTAAGTGTGACCTGAATCTAGTTTTCAGACACTTAAATGAAACTGTATTAAAGTTTAAATTTATATTAAATGCAATAAGGTGAACTTAAGAGTGCTTTTGAATCCCCCTAATTACATCTTTATATGTAATTTCATCATTATTTTTATTGTCTTGTACTTGTACTGAAAAGTTTTTATTGTAAAATAAAATATACTTTCATGTCATTTCTATTGAAACTTGTATGCCATGTATTTAAATTATTGAATGAATGAATTTGTGATTGCACATCTATAATGAAGTTTAATATATTTAAAGGGGTCATATGATGTTGCTAAAAAGAACATTATGTTGTGTATTTGGTGTAATGAAATGTGTTTATGCGGTTTAAGGTTCAAAAAACACATTATTTTCTATATAGGAAAACTTGAAATCGCATCATATGACCCCTTTAAAATATATTTAAATGTCATTCTGAATAGCACACTAAAGTTAAATTACCTTATAATAAAATTATAATCAAGTACTTAAGTATGTTAGTCAATACATCAACATAAGTATGCTTCCTTAATAATCAACAAAAGATTATTAAAACATAATGATTTAAAATGTACTTTAAAGTAAACCTTTTAATTTGACAACATTACGAAGAGCACTTTTTGAAGGTCTACTAAGAAACAGCCACCAAAGTGTATCTTTAAGTTAGTGGCCTTATTTAATTCAGATTATATCATTTGCAAATACAGTTTTGTAAAAAATATATGGTTACACTTGATTTTAAGGTGTCCTTGTTACAGTGTAATTATACATTTAAGTACTGAGTAATATTAATTAAC